CCCAATGCAGCTGAATGCTCAAATACCTTCTAACAACAATACTTTTGATCTACTGATATCTTTCCTCTTCGACTGCGAACGAAAATATCAAAACGTACAATTTGTCTCCCTTTGTCCTACAATTATCTCGCTATACTCCGACTTCTACTTCTAGTCAATAAGCAACTGCTTTGCTTAAACGTACTTCCATTCAGCAGCTTCATGTGTTTATACAATCTTGCTTAATCAGTCAAATAATGATTGAATCACTTCATTCTAGAAAATGAACTATATGATTCAAAATTTTGCAAATCAACCCATCAGACGACTAACTACTGTATAATAGCCTACGTTACCGTTGGGCCTCTGAAAATTATATCTGCAGGGTTTAAGTCGGGATAGAGGAGATGAGATTAACTGGAATCAATGACAAAGTGAGGTAAAGAACCAGATTCTTTCGTAGGATATGCAATTACAATAAAGTGGTTATCTTCGACCACCTGATTTCCTGTGTTCAATACCCATTATTTTATTCAAAATCCATTATTTTTATAAATTCATGACCTGATCTGATCATATTTTTTGTACATAGCATTGACTTTTCAGACTGAATTTTGTTTTTGTTTTTTTGAGTGGAATTTTGTTACTAAGCGAATTAACTGCTCTTGTGATGCAACAACTATACTTCGCTTCCATTACTTAAAAAAGCATCTGCACGGTTGAGTTTAAAACTTAACTGAAAAGCATTTGGTGCATTGATCCTAAGGGGTCCCAAAATATGATACACGTGATGCAGAAACTCATGCTTTCAGAAGTGAAAATCGCTAAAGTTCTGTATAAGATCGAACCTGTGAATTCCATTCGTAACCGCTCGGAGACCCCACAAGAAGATGTCGCAGCTTGCCTCCAGACAATTGGTCAATTTCATCAAACTCTCTGTCACTCATGGCGGGAATTTCCCTGTAAAGGCAACAGTCGAGCTTGTAAGCCAATTCTAACAACTTCTCACCTGCGAATAGTACTTGTCACGATAGGCTTATCATTGTCATCGACAACAGGGCGCTCATTCACATTTCCCCCAATGTAGAACAGTCGACCGTTGTCATCTTCAGCAAACATGTTGCCTTAAAAATCACCATTTTTGCTAGTTAGGTAACAGTTGGAGATGCAACAGTAACCCTTAAGCCCAAATAAGTTCAAAATACCTTTGGCATCCTCGATAACGCTAGGATTTTGGAGAAGTCTGAAATCCGCCTCAAGTACTTCAAGCTCATGCTCGTAGTCAACTCCGAGGACTTTTAGTGAAGGAATTGTATCTTCAAGCAGAAGTGCAGCTTTCCCAAGATTCTGAAAGCGTAAAGTATGGGCTAAGCTTGAATGTTTACCAAATGTGATATATTGTATTTGACAAAGCAAAAAAAGGAACTCGTAGCGAACAGAAGCAATAAGAACCAACTATCAATAAAAATGTACCTTTGCTTCAATTCCTTCCAACCTCAGATACTTCAAGGACTTTAGCATTTTCAAACCCATCAATCCTAAACAACTTAGAAATACAACTGGTTTTCAAGGCTCAGAAAATCAGACAATGTACCTTTGGCTGAAATCCGGTGACATCCACTCAAGTCAAGCATTTCTAGATTTTCCATCATTCCTCCGATTCTTCCCAATGTCCAATCGTCAACGTAAGGACAATCAGCAAGGCGCAGCATTCTCAAGTGTTTCAAGTTTTGTAGATTTTCAAGACCTATAAGAAGTTGATCAAACAAAGCAGCCTTGTTGACTATTAATCCATACCTTCAAACATAAGCTCTGTTCCCGAAGCATCAATAGCTTCTATGTAAAGGCCAGGAACTTTGCGACCAGGGAGTTTGTAATTCTTAACCAAAATGCTAATTCGTTTCATAGAAACAAGATTAGCAACAATACTTACGCCACTTTTATCCTTTTTGTACCATGCATCATCGTCAAGAAATTTGACAGAAGCCCCTCTATGCACGAGGAAGTGCGCCGCAGCAAGATCAGGTCCCAGAAACAACAGGCGTTCTGGGATCATCCTGAAAAATTTCTTTCAACTTTAGACAAACGAGATCATTAGCTTTATAACCCTGCCTTTGATCATACTGTAAGTGCTGGAAGTGTCGATATCGTCTATATCGTCGGATATTGTCAAAGCTATGGTCAAGATATCGCATTTGTGTGTGGGCAGTAAGAAGGTCTATCGGAAGCGCTCCAGTGTCCTTACGAGTCATGTCTGCTGGATCCTTCTTGGGCAATACTAAAAAGAGAAATCAGCTGCATCTAAAAAGGTGCAGAAAAGAACACACTTTGTTACACACTGTTCTACACGAAGAAAAACAGCAATTCTGCAAACTCCTGACATTTGTTAGGAGGAGGCAAGAGAAAAAGGACCAATAATTTCTTTATTTAAAATAACGAAAGAGAAGGGTAATCAAAAATAGGAAATGACTCCGCTACTCTGATTAAAACCACAATTCTAAGCTAAAAGTTAATCAAGCATAAGAGCACTGTTAGCTGCGGCAACAGTACAGAAACCTTTGAAGACATCAGCAAGAAGTTAGAAATGGCTGCACATAATTTAGTTACTCTATCTACAAGCTTTCAAACCTAAGTCACAGAAAGGAAGAACAAGTATGGAGATAAGTTAGTAGAGTAAGGAAATGCAAGAAATACTGGTATTTCCTATGCTTTGCTTGCTTATGATTTCTTTAATCTCTATTGTAAGACAGATGCTGTAGATCCTACGTGTTATAATTTCAATGTTTCAGTCTTGAAGTCTACCTTGTTCACAATTAACAGCATATACAATTTAAAGCGTAAACAAGGTAGTCATTCTCGAAAAAACTACCGCCAATTGGGCCTAGAATCAAGTGCTTCAAATATTATGAAGAAATGAAAGATCGTCAGAAAACCTTACCATCTTCTGGTCTCTCAGGTGTCAAGTACATTCCTGTTGGAGTTTTTATAAAATTCCTTTGTAAAGCAATATCTCGTACATGCTCTTCCTAAAGATTCCAAAATAATATAGTAAACAGCAATAAATGAATAACTTCAATCAAATTGATTAAGATACACGCACTCTAGCTTTTTCCAACTCCTGCCATCTTTGAAAGTGACTCCATTTATGGATGAAAGAAGTTCTCTTCTGAACCCTAAGGACTGCATTGGATCCAATCAGTAACAAAGAATGCGATGTTTTTGAGGACATAACCTAAGAGAAAATCTTCTTTTTACATCATTCACAAAAGTGGGTATCACCTACTGCATTGAGATTTAGGTAATAATTCATAACATAGTATTGAATTGTCTTAACTG